ATTGAGATGCAAGTAGATTAACCGAAATTGTCAACAGTTAAGTGATGAGCAGTAGTGTTTCACCTGTATAAAGTAATGTTAAACAACCTGATTTCAACTGTCTCACAAGTGAGAAGTTATTAGATTCAGATACAACCTACTAGTCACTCGCTTGAGTTAGTCAATTATTATTCCACTTAGTGGTCTGATTGTCGGTGCTATTCCGAATAAATACTCACCAGACTGTTGCATTTACCACCTAAACAAAGTTTAACTGACTCAGACTCACGCATTCAATAATTAATCTTTATTTATTGCTAAAAAGGCCTTAAATCAATTATATCAACTTGAAGATTTATTTACAAAGCAGTTCCACTTTGTCGCTTGAGGCTATCGAATTTGTCGTTTTTCAGTCATACATTTTCAATGAATATGTTTCTCAGATACCTCAAGGCTAAATTTTTTGTTCTGGTCGAACTTTTTCGATGTAGAAATAGTTGTTGAGAGGTTTATAGGAGCCACATTTCGTCGCGAAACTGAGCTTTGAATAAGCCAACTTAAATTGCGATAGCTACCTAGGGAACCAAAACGTATTGCATGACAAGCTACTTGATTAATGACAGCTGTTTCAGTTATGAATCACGTCTGAGAAACTAACATGTATTAGATAGGTGGACGGCAAATAAAACATTCCATGATTTTTGTTTGTAGCATTCAGAGATCAATAACTGTATCAGAGTTGCTACAAAATATGACTGTTTCACTTGCTCATTCTAATTTCGCCGAAAATTCCCCCCAATTTCTCCTTTAACAGGTAAGTTATGGTGAAATTCCGCCTTATTTGATTCGTTAGAGGCATCGCACAGTGGGACAGTACTATTTACCGGATCACCTTTTAGACACAATTATTCACTGTGGTCACATCAGTATACCTCCATAACTTTGAGACTCGGTTTACGTAGTTCCAATTTTCTCGCCTCCTTTGTGATATAGGGAGTAAGATTTTTCAAATATCTGGAACAGGTGCTGAGTTATTTCTGTTGTATGTATTGGGTGCTGGTTGGATGAACAAAGATTCGGTTATCAATGTCTTCCATGACCCCCTAGATTAGTTTTAGGGGCTTTAATTGTCTCACATTCTATTGTGTAGTACATCCTAGTAAGATAAGGGATACAGAATAAAGCGTGGGCATAACTTTGCATCCAATAACATTCAAACACACAACAGGACGCGACAGGGTGAAAGTCCCTAAAACTAATCTAGGGGGTCATGGAAGACATTGATAACCGAATCTTTGTTCATCCAACCAGCACCCAATACATACAACAGAAATAACTCAGCACCTGTTCCAGATATTTGAAAAATCTTACTCCCTATATCACAAAGGAGGCGAGAAAATTGGAACTACGTAAACCGAGTCTCAAAGTTATGGAGGTATACTGATGTGACCACAGTGAATAATTGTGTCTAAAAGGTGATCCGGTAAATAGTACTATTCCACTGTGTGATATATTTGATGAAGCAACTAACGTGGAATTTCATTACATTACAGTGTCCGAGTTTTACTGTTACAGCAAAGGCATAATGAGTTTCATTTGAAAATCAATATGATAAAAACTAGGTTGAAATGTTTAATCTTAGTTATTCCTAATATGTAAACTTATGTTTTAGAGGTTGTTAACTGTTCATACATTGACTTATTTAATCAAGGAAAATAACATGAATGAACTCATATTGGTCCGATTGCAGTTAAAATGAAGACTATTCTAACTCACTGATTAGTATTGCTACTCGTAAACTATTTCAAAATAGTGTTTTCAGATGTTTAGAAAATCTTGTGCAAATTTTAAAACTTTAGCAGTCTTAGCTTTTACATTTGCATGCATTCATCTTGATTAATAATGAATAATTTTGCAAGAGACTGAGAAAATATATTTGATCATTGATTAATCCTTCGTAGCAAACCATTAAAAATTACTTGACTAAAATGGAGCTACTTTGCAGCAAGTACACGAACAATTCTATCATACCATCAGGATGTCTAAAAGCACCTAAACCAGTCTTCAAACGAAAGAATGTGGTATTCTTTTTCGATCTCGAAGTACCATATTCATTATTTCTAATAGCAACTGTAAGTTATCCAGATATCTGAGCACATCGAAAGCTGAAGTAAGTAGAAATGTATGACACCTAAAGCTGAAGAATGTGTGTACACTCCTGATATTTTTTCTCTGATACCTTCAAAATGTATCACTAGTGTTTGATTGGAACAGTAAGAGAGCAGTTGGATTGTGAGAGACAGAATACACCAAGCGCAGCAGTTGAAATTTCGAATGCTCAACAATTATGGTAATTAGGTAAAATATCATGCACACTGAGTGTCGTTAACTTGTAAGTGAAAACTTGAGACAGAATTTGGACGAAGAAAACCTTGTGGTTGTCGAATCAAGAAGCACGATCTGCCAAAAAGGTTCATTACTAATGGCCTTAACTGTCTATGCAATACAACTTAACTGGTTTTAATTTGTTAGTTAGTTAAAGAAAGTTGTCGAGGATGGTGCGCTTTTATCATTTCTATTTTTATACTTATTCTTAGCTGTAAATCGACCCCTCAAACGTTCTATTCTGCACCTTTATCAACTCAGTTTTGATGTACTGATATAAAAGGAAACATCTTGGTCTAAAACATAGCTGAATAAGTTTTCTAAGCCATTACTATGAAGCTTGCATGTATACATCGATAGTGAGTTCACGTGTCTGTGTGAAATATCCATCACCCAATAACAAAATAGCAGGCCCAGTTACCATCCAGAATGTCAGAAACTCGGCAACTGTTTGTTGTTTACCTTATTTAGAAACCTCTTGAATCACTTTGGAAAGATATTAAAGATGATGGGCTGTAAATGCATCCAGTCTTGTGATTACAAGGAAAATGTCCGGCCTAATAAAACAAAACATCAAAATTAGAGTCATTGTGACTATTCAGTATAAAACATAAACAAAAGTTTCGTGGTTATTTTGCAGCTCACATTGTAGTAAGTGTTTTATAAAAGCGTAACGAACATTGAGGTCAGAGGAATTCAAATGTTTAACTTCTGCATCCGTACTATGATTTTAGTATGTCTCAAGTAGAATAAACTTAAAGGTCAAAAATAATTATAAAATGCTAATGATTTGATTCAAATATTCTCCACTAATCGTCTTGATAGATAGGATCAGGTTCAGTCGACCTTGATGCCTCTCAGCCTTGTCAGCACACTATGGAATTATTTTCAATGACCAGAATATGCCATAAGTTCTAGAGCCCTATCGTCGTTAAGGTATGGTGGTCTATTTATGTACACACGTTTTCTTAGCAATCGAAACAAAAGGGTATGCTGACTTGGTTGAAAGAAAGGAACTTTTCCAGTTTCGTCACGTAGTTCTAAAATGAGCTTAGTTCTTAGACATTAAATTCTCTTTACGCCGTGAATCTTCAATGCAGTAATAACTTCAAAGAAACTAATTTGCATCGCACACGAATTTATCAGTTAATTTTATGAGTAATTTCAAACAATCGAGAGCGGTGCGATCACCTTTAGCAAATATTTTCCTAACTAAGATCAAAAAGTTTTCATGAAATACATTTAGTCGAAACTTCGCATTTTATCGTAGATACAAGGACAGTACGTCCAACCCCTGTGAAAGCGCCTGTCATAATTCCAGTCAGTTCACCGAATTCAATGAAACACGATCTATAAAATTCACCTATGAGAAGACATAACAGAACAAGATAGCCTTTTTTGGATGCTCTCTTTTCAACAAGACCATATGGAACCCTGAACGATAACTTTTAAGGAAAGCAAATGGAAGGTACAGTATGCACACTTCAACAACTTCATATCCAGTGTAAACGAAATCTAGTCTAGACGCCCAATTACAGAGTAACAGTTATAAGTTCGGAAGATCAGATCAGTGAAAAGTTGAAGATCTTACTCAACACTCTAAATGAAAATGGTTACCCTGTCAATTTCATACACAAAAGCATTACGAAAGCGAAAAAGAAATGTACCTTAACTCAGAACGAGAAAAGGGGGTGCCATATGAGATTTTGATTTAGAAGTCATGAAGATTCACACAAAGAACATTTAATACGAGAAAATTACTGCCAGTGTTTTCTATACGTGCAGTTGTTTTACCAAGGCTGAGAGATCAAATAGTTAGGCCGACTGCTTCTTGTTTTGTTTATCAATTCGACTGCTCCTGTACAGCCAGTCATGTTTGACGATGTTCCCATTGCTCGTAAACATCTCCCAGTTTGGCTGAATAAAGGTGGATAGCTACATGCTAGCGCACTTAGTTCAAATAGACAATAACATTTATATGACTCAGACATATTCTGTTATACATATTGTATCCTCGTTAATGCACCAGAAGTTATTAGTTACCAAATACTTCAAATAAGAGGAGCTGTAGGCATTTGACTTAGACGGCATGAATTGTGTGTACAAAGACATAGGTGCAACTATTACTACATATACTTTGGACAACTTTAGGACTGACTTCTCTCTGAAGTAGTTAAATTTAGCCATCTGGTACTATAACAGAAATATGATCATCTACAAAATTGATTATTTTGGAGGGTATTTATGGTAGGTTCATATAAAAATCTCAACTTTGCCTACACACATCTATTCTTTGAATAAGCAATATGAATGTGTAATTTTGAAGCTTAAGAAAGGACGTACTTAAAAAAGTATTCTTAGTTCATAAAGATCTATTTTGAACTTCAGTATCATTCGAGAGATTGAAACAGCGAAACCTATTAGAAATACGTGCGACATTACAGTAATAAGGCATATAACTGACTTTGAAATTTATATTTAAGGAGTTATAAGATAAAGCTATTTATATAATTTGGTAAACGTTATAGCTCTCTGAATCTGCACAACTATCGAAAAACTATTATAAATATACTCTGCTTATGAAAACTAAAGGATGGAACATTTTATTCTGAAGGAAATATTACTGACCTTACACATTAGCGATATCTTTGATAATAATTCTCAGCAAACCTTGCACATGGTTTGTCCAGGCATTCCGCTAATGTGCCATGACACAATTGGCTACAGCCGGATTCAGCACTAAAGACTCTTCTACATCGGTCATCACATGCAAGAAATCGTAGTAAGCATTCATTTTTACAGTTTCCTCCAACCATAATTCTTTTATTCATCGCCATGTTGACACAGAAGAATAAAAGAAGAATCACCTGAAGCTTTGAATGAAAAAGCAAAATGTAACAGCAGTAAGTGGTTAAAAAACATTCACACTAACAATGTTTTACTTAATACTGAATAGTGTATTTAAATAAGCCAAACTATATAATCAGGGTGAGCTAATTATATACAAGCCTTAATAACATTCACTTTGCATTAGATGATGTCGTTTTTTAGGCATAAAAGTAATTACTTCAAACTTTCACTTGATGTGTTATTTAAACAAATGAAGAAGTGATATTTTCTTAAGTCCCATTGACGTGATACACTAGTGTTTCTTATAAAAATCCAGTAGGTAGAAAAATCATTGCTAACGCGCCTGATTACGCTACACACTGAAGCTATTGTACTGTTGCATTTGCAAAATAGGCATATCTTACCGTTCAGTAGACGCTTTGCAGCTTCGTAACTTTTTCAAATATTCAAAAGCACGTAATGTTATTTACAAAGTTTTTCTTGTAAAAACTAGACCACAATATGTGTTTCTCATGAATAGAGTACAAACCGTAAGTAATAAAAAAATTAATGATACAAATTTTTAAAAAGAATTTCTACTTAACCTCTTATTTCATAAAGTTTATTAGATGCCTTAGAATATGAACAGAATAGTTTTTTCTTAATGAAACAAAATATCTCTCCTCAACGCTTTTTATCGTAGATAAACTGTAATACAGCTTATAATAACCTCGCGGTAATTATATTCATCAATGATTAGGGAATGTAAACTTATTACTTACACCTGTCTCTGTCAGTCATTGCTAACATGAGAACTAGTATTACTGGGTAACGGTTCAAGTTGCAACTCCTCACATCAATATATCAAAGTACGAAGCACTGAGATGTAAGAGGAAAAAAATAAGAAAAGTAGATAAAAGTTGAAGAAAGTTACAGGAGGAGGAAAGAATAGGACAAGGCCACAGAACATTAGTGGATGCATCAGCTTCATAGCTGTTGATTCTGAGGTATATTGACTGGTCTGGAACCACCAATTTTGAGCATCACGAAAATCCCGTTGGGAAAGTCAATATTTTCAGCACTACTCGGACAAACAGTCAAAGGCCTCATGAATTGGTATTACATTTTAGTCTGATCACCTATGACCTTTACTAGCTTATAACCTTAAACCAATCGATTGCATAGGTGATGACTAAGCGCGAGTAACATGTTCCAGCCATCTGAGTCAATCGAGGTGTATGTTTTCATGAATTCGTTTACTTCTTTCGCTGTGAGTTTTCACTTTAAATCAAAAATACAAATATAGTGGTTCCACAACTCATGGGAAATACTAAAGGCACAGCAGCGATCAAACATTTGGAGCCTACTTGAATAATATTTCATCCATTTGATTTGGTCGTATATAAGTACAAGTCTTGGCATTCGAAAAGCTTTATTTTGCAATTTTTCAGCCCAATGAGGATATCAAGAGACATTATATAACTTGCAATATGGAAGACTGTGCAGCTATAAGGGTATTGGATTCATAGGTATTGTCAGATTCTGTACGTAATCCCCTCCCTATATTTTTTTCATTTATTTCCATCCAGCCCTTTCTCTTAGGATTAAAATTAAGATAACACTGTTCACATGTGATGATACAGGTCTGCAGACATGCGAGCTGTCAAAAGTGCAAATAAAACTGGATGCTGCAATAAAGGAATATCAAAATTTGAATTTGTCATCTTCAATGTAGATAGCGAATCAATAATGTTCCTTAAATTTAACTTTCATGAAATTCAGTAGAAGCTTGAGTATTTGACCTGTACCTACAGTCAAATTGTAATCACATGTGTAATATGTTCTTCTGAGCCTCAAAATTCTACTAGTGTCTCAGTGTCTTGTCACTTATTTGAGTCCAAAATAAACTCACGACTGATGGCGAAACAATATGGATTCAAAAGTTTCACATCGAAGTAATGAAGTGTTATTAAATCATACTGTGTCAGTGAGAATAGGTTAGTTTCTTCCAAAATAATTTCTTCTAATTCCTTCTACCTCTCACCTTAACCTCTCCTGGCTAACTAGTTCACTAGTTACTAGCCGTCCTAAGCCCGGGTACACACGGAAGGTTGGGCATATGTCTATCAACCCTACACCGTAAAATAAATACAACCGCTACAAAAACTTCAAAACACAAACAAAATACAAAAGATAAAAACAAAATTATTCCTAGCTGGAATCGGGGAGACGAAATGACGCCGGTGGGTGAAAGCCTTCGAGAAGCCGATTGGCCGATGTGTCTTCTCTTCTCTCAATGAAAGCGAAAGTAAACGAGGGGACATGGAATGTCCGCACTATCTTTGAACACAGCAAGGCTGCTCAGATTGCAAACGAGATGAGAAGGTATAGCATTGAAGTATTAGGAATCTGCGAGGAATCTGCAGATGGAATGGAAGTCGACTCTCCAAACTGTCAATTGGAGAGGAGTCAATAATCTACTCCGATATTGTCACCCAGACGACACGACAACCACGAGCACACTGAGTTTTCGAGTGGCTATCATGATGTCCCCCTCCCAACAGCATCGAAGTCTCTCTCTCATGCAGTGGGAACTAATCTCCTCAAGCATCAGCATCATGACAGCAAGATACAACTCAAAAGGAAGGAAAGTCACAATCGTACAATGCTACACTATGCACCTACAAATAATCAAGCAGATGAAGAGAAGAAGGAGGAATTCTATAGACGACTGCAATCAACACTGGACAAGACCCCATCCCAGTTGGCGACATCAAAATTCTAATGGGTGGGAGACATGAATGTCAAACTGGGAGTGGACTATACAGGAAGGGAAGCACTCGATGAAATGAACGAGAATGGAGAATTGTTTGCAGATTTCTGTGCATTCAAAGATTTGGTGATTGTAGGCACTGTGTTCAAGCACAAGGATATCCACAAAGCGATATGGATTTAGTTTCACCAGAAACCAGGACACACTAAAAATCAGACCTATTTCATCTCAAAATCAAGAAGGTAGAGACATAGCCTACTGGACACAAGATGAGATGAAGAAGAGCAGCACATGTAGGTTCACACCACTCACACCATCATCTAGTGCAAGGAACCTACCTTCAAAATCAAGTTGAAATCCTTCGAAGAAGAAGCTGGTTCCACTTGGACCACAGTTCAAGTTCAAGTTGAACACTCAGAACAGACAGTGAACTGAAGGACGAAACTACAAGGGACATCCTCACAGCAGCCATCAAGACGAAATGGGAGATATCGAGCAACATCTGTGAAGAAACCTGTGTGGATGAGCACTGGAACTCTTTGAAAGCTATGTGGAAATGAACCTGCATAGCCGTATTAGGAATGAAGAAGAAAGAAGATAAGAAATGGAATGGAATGGATCTCGACGGACACATGGAAGCTGATAGTGGAGGGAGAGGAGGGAGTATGTTGAAGCAGAAGATAAATCATTGCAGTGCAAGGATGACCAACTTGAAGGAGGACTGAGCACAACGTATAAAACACTCACTACACTGGACACAGAAGTGAAGAAGAGTGCACGCAAAGACAAAAGACACTTCCTCGACACGTTGGCAAGTGAAGCAGAACAGACTGCAGGTAGGTGAGACAGAGACCTGGAAACATTGTATCAAATAACCAGATTACTATCTGGGAGGGAAGAGATCAACACAGGTGGAACCGATAAAAGATGATGAAGGAAATCTAATTGTCGAAGACAAGAAACAAAGAAACGATGTGCTGACCACTTCCAAAAACTCTTGAATCGACCACCACCATGACCACCTGCAACTCGTCCATAAATACCACCTGCAGCTCAGCCACAGAACTACTACCAGTGAACACAGACCCTCAACAAAAGCAGAAGTCCTGAATGCCATAAAGCTAATGAAATGTGGGAAAGCTGTAGGGCCAGACAGAATTCCACGAGAAGCACTGAGAGCAGACACATAGACAACAGTGGACATGCTGACACGACTACTGCAGAAGATCTGGAAAGAGGGCAGGAAATGTACCTGGAGATTGGAAGAATGGCTACCATGTCGAACTCCCGAAGAAGGGTGACGTAAATCTTTGCAAGAACTGGTGAGGAATCACGCTCCTGCTCAACCAAAGCAAGCAAAATATTATTCCGCATCATCCTGGAGAGACTAAAGGATGTGCTGGATTCAAAACTACGACCGGAACAGGCTGGCTGGCTAGCTGGCTGGATTCAGGAAGTACAAATCATGTGGGGACCATATTACAAAGCTACTCCACACATCATCATAGAACAGAGTATAGAATGGCAGTCAACTGGATCTTAACCTCAACTTCATCGACTTTGAGAAGTACTTCCTTTGACAGCGTCGACCGAGAAGTAATTTGGCAGTTGCTAGAACACTACGGAGTGCCACAAACCTTTACCAACCACATTCAACAACTGCATGAAGACTCCATATGCCAAGTAATTCACAATGGGAAGCTCAGTGATGCCTTCAAAGTGAAGACAGGTTGGCAGGTAAGTCAAGGCTGCTGCCTACTATCACCCATGATATTCCTGATTGTGGTGAACCGGAGTGGATCATGCAACAAACAGTGAGGAGCGAGAAGAGGGGGATACGCTGGCTGGACCGATGAGAAGACCCTAGGAGAAGATTTGGATTTCGCCGATGACTTGTGTCTAATGTCACACAAACTTGAAGATCTGCAGGCGAAAACTGACAAGTCGGCAGGAGAGGTGAGGCAGCGAAGACCGGCACTTCAGGTGAACGTAGAGAAGACAGAGGTGATGAAGATACCCAACCAACAACAACAACCAACAACAACAACAACAAGCTACAATCAGCATCAACGGGAGAAACTGAAAGGAAGTAGCCTCTTTCACCTATCTAGACAGCACTGTTTCAACTACGGGTGGCGGCACAGATGAGGACGTCAAAGCCAGCCGGTTTTGGAAACACAGCAAGACAGGCGTCCATTAACCTGAAACCAGTGTGAAGATCTTCCACACTCAGCATGTGGAACAAGATGCAGATTTTCAACACCAACGTCAAGTCAATGCTGCTGTATGGTTCAGGAACTTGGTGCGTTACGAAACGGATTTCCAACAAACTACAGTTATTCATCAACAGCTGACTATGCTGGCTCGTTACTGAAGCTCGGATGGTCAGAAATAATAAGCAACAAGGAACTCTGACTGGACAACGAATCGACTAAGAACCTATCATTCAACAAATATGCAGAGGAATAAAGTGGAGATGGATTGGATTTGGCATACACTGAGAAGACCGATTGGGGACATCACGTGCCAGACCAGGTTCTCGAGTGGAACTCAGATGGAAAGCGACGAGTTAGACGTTTGAGGTGAGGGTGATGTTGTGGAGATCGTGTGAGGAAGAAATGAAAAGTTGTGAGCAGTGGTGGAGTTAGGTTGGAAGACTGGAGAATAGAGTGCACTGGAGACGTGCTACTGAAGCCTTATGTTCCACTAGGAACCCAAGGGACAAATAATACTATGATTACAACATTTCACCTTCAATTCACGTTTTATATAAACCTTTCGATGGGCGCAATATCAAGTCAGCTAGTTGTTTTCCGTTTTTAACTATTACATGTTGCGAAATTTAAGTGAAAAGCTCTTTAGGTAATCTTTATGCGGTTTGTAGTTGGTAGTAAATTTGTTGATGAACATGGCCTAACATTTGACCATTATTGACCACCTCAGTGGTCAGTATCTTTCATTAGGAAAATCACAATATTGTCATTCCCTCAGTAGATACCTACTACTTGACTACAACCAGGTAGTTTCAACGTTAAAGCTTCACAGACTTATGTTTTTCATGTACTTTTCTGGTGCTTTCACCAGAATAATAACAAATAAGTCACTTCGAAAGCTGTGTAGTACTGAAAATACCAAAAGCAATCTTTTTTCAGTAGTATTTACACTTGCCTTCCAATTTTGACTCAATAAACATGCTTCAATTTCTCATATTTAATATGTTAACTATTACGATTGAATATTAGAATTCCCACAACTACAACGTAAGGCAATGCACGGCTTGTAAATATAATACGTATGGAGAAGTGATACAGCAAAAAACACTAATGAACATACCTTCATTGATGTATTACTGCAAACGTGAAGTATTTAGTGATAATTTTACGCCCCTCAATTTATACTACTGTGTGTATGAGTTTGTTGGTATGTTTGTGCATAGAGATACGTGGTAACTTTCGGAATACATACTATTAGGTTGGAAATAACGGAAGTGAACAGTAATTTAAGCAGAGGATGTATATTTGAAGGAAAATGCATTATTTTTTGTCAGTTAAAATAATCAACAATTTTATTACGATAAATACAGTAGTTCCGCTACATTTCCACTCAGTGTATTCGTCTGTAGGCTATCATGTGCAATTTTAGCATCATCAGAATAGAAACAATTATAATTCAAAGTGTCAGTAACTCTAATTATACAACGAGTGTTAATGCATAATTTGCACTGAATATTTTGAAATACGATGTGAACTAACCATAGTTTTAAGAATGTTTGGAAATCAGCCAATATTCCAGTTTAAAAGTGGTAATCAACTTTTGATTCTGAGGTCCCTCTTATCACAAAAGTGTATCATTTTGAGGATTACTTAAATCGCTGTGACACTGGGTGATTTTATTTAGAAACCTCGCAACCCTATACAAGCAAGGTCTGTGAAGGTTGGAATGTAGGATCATCAGTTCTTGCAGCGAGCAAATCCTCATTCTGACTTTGATTTGAAGTCAAATGGCGGACAACTTTTACACTTCTTTCATTAGTTTTTGAAAAATATCACTCCGTAATGTTAGTTACTTTGCAATTAAACAACTATTACGAACCATCAATTAAATGAACATCCAGCGCTAATTAGCAGCTCACCTCAAGATGGAATTCTCCAAGTTTTAGCGAATTGTGTCAAATGAGTTGACACAAGTAACTCTGGATAACGGTTGCACTATATCACAGACTGATAGAAGAAGGGAAATGTGCATCACTAGATTGCAGTCCATTGGATGAGTAGTGACACATTAGATTTTAAGTACGATGGCTGTGTGCTGAATGCTCACAATGTATAGAGTGCGCTATGTTGAGAGATTTCAAACTGGGACGAATTAATTTTTCAAGGGTAACAATTTTCCTCTGATCCACCATCTCATATCAACTCACGGTAAAAATCAGTTTGAAATCAATTAATCCCTGAAAATTGTTAACTGAATGAATTTTTTATGAAAAAGGATTGAAGAATATCTGAATTACTGACAAACACCTGGTTGTAAATATTATGCATTTTATTCCGTGAATTAGTATCTATGCTGAATACATGAACTTCTAGACAAGGTGCACTCTACACAAATGATAAACTCAATTAACTAGAAAGAACATTTTATTTTTGAGCAGTTGTAAGTCACCCACTAATGCTTCTAAAATCTTATTTAGATAAGACAGAACTAATTCCATAACTTAGTTTAATGCTAAGTGATTAGTGTAAAACTGTGGTCCAGTGAGAAATCGTGTCAGAAAACCAGCCTGGTACAGATACAGACTAGTGAAATGGATCCCACCAGTTAAATTTTTAGTCATAATTTGTATTTTCTTAGTTATCTCCAAATAATCCACTGAAAGAGAGAACAAGGGAAGCACTAGAAAATCAAACTACAGGTGAGTCATTTTAATATTCTGTAAAAGCGTATGTTTTACGAGAAATAATCTATCTATTTAGCAGTTTCACAAATTCTCATTCGATGCATTGCTGTTATTAGCTCTGAAAACGACTGTTATGCTCAGCGACTGAAGAACAGTTTAGACCTGGTATCTGGTTAGTAACTGAAGGGTTCATGTCCTTTCACCGGATGATTCGTTTAAAAACTGTCACTCGAAATTCTGTTGTGATTCTTTGTGTAAAGTTTCAATAATATCCAACTCCGTATTTTATCTACATTGATACTTTTAATCAGAGGATCGATTTCAGAACTGAATATCTTCAGTTCATGAATTTGTCACAAATGAAGAAAATGGAAATATTGTCGTTCGTTATAACATATATAAATATATATATGTTATAACGAACTACAATATTTCCATATCAAATGATGATACGTTTTCTAAAGTACCACTTTATAGTTTTTCTAAAAGATGCTGCTGAAAGAAATTGTATTTAGTAGAGTCACTGTTTTCAACGATTTCATTCTCAAGCTGTACAGCTACAGAAAAAGATTGTTTCATAAACGGCTTCAAGTGAAATCCCGTCTTCGTCTTAAATCGGGATTGAAAAAATACGTAAGGTATGATGCTGTAATGCGATGGATCGTCAAGCCGAAGGTGGTAGTAAGTTCCTAAGTTGACTGATATAACATGTTTGAAGAAGTTGGTAGATGTTTTGAGAAATCATAATCTCAAGTGTTTAGGAATGTGATGTGTGAGACATATGTCTGGGACGGTGGAAGGAAAGATTCTTTGGCTGAAGTATTTTTATAGATGAAATACATTATAAATCATAAGACTGAAAAGACTAACTTCGAATGCAAATTTCAAGCTTCGAAATATGATTTTCCATATTTCACAAATTTTAGACACGTTTCAAATATACACCTTTCATAGGATTTCCTTGGACACTCTAGGTGAGATTGCACCTGTTTTCATCATTCGCTGGTTGATGAAAATCAGCGAAATGTTGTAAGATGAAGCTACTAAATGCTATATTCTCTCCCTTGTGAAACCACACATGTATATGTTCTGTATATTGCATTTAAGAAGCGAACGCTATGCATGGTTAAAATACGCCAGTCCACAGGAGGAGGTGAATAGATAAGTGCACATGAAGGAATCCGGCTTAGTCTTTACACATAATTAAAGCATTGGGTAGAAAGAAAAAGTAAGTCTGGGTGTGAGAGCATTCATCATGATTTCCTTTTGTTTTTGTCAATGAGTATTTTTGAATTATGCGTCCATGAAGAGAAGTTTTGCAGGAACTGGAGAAGTAAAGTGACTGGCTGGTTTCAGTTTAATTAATCTTAGAACAAAATGCTCAAGATGCGGGCTTTCAGTCAGAACATTTTAAGAAAGCTTGATTCATATTCCGAAGTATCATGAATTCACACACTGTAGATTCTAGAACATAGGAAGGAATCACGTTTCACTTCTTCTCTAACTGTACCCAAATATAAAAATTCTTAAGTTGTCTATACCTTGAGCATTTCCCATAGATAGACCTTCCTGGGTGTACATACAAGAAAAATTTTCGAAAATCGAATTTCTTCTCTTTCATAAATTTGATAGCTGGTTGACAGTTGTCATTTGGATAAAGAATAATTTTCCGGTTATCTACACCACTGAAGATAGTGAAGATGTCTCTTACAAATTTCATATTGAATGATCATTCTGTTGGTGTGTCTTTCCAATCTTGTACATGAAGAAGTCTGTAAGTTAAGAAGCTGATAGTGAACTCATAGTCATTTCATCTTTCTGCATCTCAATAACTGCTTATTCAGATGGTGCATGGACACGCTAACGTTTAACTTACTGAGTCAATAGATTTAAAAATGTAAAACGCTATCTCAGTCGATGGGACTGTTGCAAGTAGCGGGATTGCATTCCACGGGAACATAATCTTGACTGAGCAGTTGAAACAATTCAGTATATCAACAAGGCTCTGTGATTTAATTAAGAATTATGTGTCTGAAATGAAATAAGACTGAAGTAAAGATACTAACAGAATGAAGCGTTGATCATGTAGAAGCAGTGTGAAGTTGGCCAAAGACTTATTTATGTTAATACAATGGCTGTCGTGGATTAATGTTTCGAAGTCACATGAGCAAATCTATCTGTTGTGCCTATTTCGAAAACAATATGGACTATACTTTTTCTCTAGTAAATCAGAGCATCCGATTCATTATTGGTGCGTCAAAGGTCACTTAAAATTCTCTGAAAGACAGCAACGTTTTGTGTTTCTAACCTTCACACTTTAGTTCTACGTTCTGACTATCAGAGTCAGTTCATTCACGTTTGGAAACTTATACCCATCAATGTTTGGTCTTGCATATGTTCGGTATGTGACATTATTGAAGAGCATCAAGTTATGGGGCGGGGTGAGTGTCGACTGCTTCATGGTCTTCAGCGCTTCCTTATTTAGAGGTGCTCTATTATAAAAGCATCTTAACTATTGATTCCACATAAAGCAGCAAAAGAATGTGGGAGATTTTCACGTATTCAACATCAGTTTAGTCAACCAGTATATAGTTTGCATGGTCGCTATTTGCGAAATGTCGAAACCCTATCCTTCTCATCAGTATGCACTAATGCTGATGAAAATGATGCGAAACCATTCAGTACTCTTACTAGATGTGAAGAACCACTAGCCATACGGCCATCAGTCAGGTGAACGTAAGTGCGAATGGGGTTGTTCACCAAAAAATACTACTTTTGAATCCTCTTAAGAAAAAAATGTTTGATTCGGTTCATAAACATCATCATAATTTAATATTTCATAAGTCAGTAAATATACTGCTTGTGAAATCAAGAAGTGAGGAATCCTTTTATTGTATTAGATATGACATCCTGTAGTTGGAAAATGTATGCTTCTTTAATCTTATGGAAGTTTTACTCATTACAGTCACGTAAATGACTGAAATATTATTACTATTATACTGTAATTACTGTTTGTGTAGTAATCAATAGGCTTATTCATTTGTATTCACTGCTGTTTATAATTTCTTTTGATATACTTGGTCGAATTACTCGGTCTATGCTGTCAGGTGAGCTTCTATATGGATGCCTCAATTCTCTCTTAATATTCAATGTTTTATTTTTTGATGCTTGTAGTTTCTTACTGACATGCTGGATCGATTTTCTTTCATGCTTCACTGGCTTGAAGGGTAACCTTTTAGCATTGAAAGCAAAGCATCCTGGACGTAAGTCTCAGTTGGAACACGAAAACTGTTCAGGGTAAAAGTACATTCAGTTGACGAGTCCCTAATAGGGTGAAATCGGCTTATCGGATTCCACTGCTACTCACCAAGTAATCAGCTACACTGCTTGTTGTGGTTAAATGTTTGTCAGACGTTTTTTTAGGCAGAATGGTGGACAACAAAGTTAATTCTGATTGTCTGCTGATATGATGCCCCCATCAAACTTGTCGGTTTAACTGTGCTTCTAAACAAAATGAACATACACATATTTTATTGCTCCGTTTTTACAAGATGATTAAGTTAGTAGTGAAATTCATATGAGGTTAAATAAATAAACGCATCACATGTATAGTAGCCCATGATTGCTTTTCATCTGCTAATGGGATAGCGGTTTGAAAAACCTGACTGAAAAACTGGATGATGGTTTGCATCAAAGTCCGTTCCTTCCGCAAGGTTCGATTCATCGATCCAAAAATCTATTTGATAATACCAACTCTGTATGTGTTCATGAGACGTGACACCTGTTAACCTCTACGAAAACATAGGCAATGGAAGTGACTCAATAGGTAATTATATCACCATTTTACCATGAATAAATATTTTATTTAAAAATCCTAACCTAGGTGAGTGAACAAGTGACCTTAGGTACCAACGATATTTTGTACTTTAACTCCTGCCTAAAAAATTCACAACAAACTGTAGTTAGACGGTGTGATAAACAACAGTAAACTCTGTAAACATGATGTAGGCAGGCACCATAAAATTTTAGCATCAAGAATTATTACGGATGGCGACCAACTACATCATAACAGTATTTTGGGCTACATTTTGCCGTCATAAATATGTTTCCACAGCTGCTTGCTTTCAAACCACTGAAATGGAAAGGTGAAGTCATGGTTATACTTGCGATTCAGTTTTGAGAATTCAACTAGTGACTGACTGAAGCTATAGAATGTTTTCAAGTACACCAACATATTTTATCGTGGCACTTCAAGTAAGTACTTCTGCTTAAAATATATCTGGTACTTTGGTATTACCATAATAGTTTCATTTGGAAGATTGAATGGGAACTATGTGACTGGAAGCTGTCTGTCACTTCAAGCGGCAATTATATTACTTCGACAGTGCCTCATCTGCTCTCCTTGAGAACAGCGTTCCAGCTGCTTTCGACCACAATCTTACCAATGTGAGAAGAAAACAGTGAAACTTTATTGTTTGAGGTATTTTACAAACGAAGCAACGTCTTATTACTATTATTATTATTACTAGTTTTCAGCAGGATTACTCGAATAGTCATTTAGGTGCGATCCTTGATAAAAATCACAGGCAGTTGTTCATTTACTGATGCTTACTAGATGTAGATGTCATGCTTTTATGAGTAGTTTGTTTAAAAATAAATGTCAATTTACTAACTGGCAGCTTGTTCGTAACGGAAAGATTATGCCTTATCATTTAATTGATACATTTTTGGATAATGACTGCAGAATAATTTTAAAAGCCAGAATATTATAGCGCTATCTCTATTGAGATTATAAAATGACAACTGTTAGCTAAATTTGTCGTGAATATTTTACATGGGGACTGGCGATGAATGACTGAGAGGTACTGGTTACGTGACCAACATTGAGGCTTTTTAAAGACCAGCTGATGGGATTTAAACTACAGTCAGCATCCGTAGCAAGACGAATCTATTTATTGCTATATAAGAAAATAAAACCACTCATTATGCTCTGGATATTCTTCACATTTCAGAGAGTCAGTAGCGGGAAAGTGTGCATTAACATTTACATTACTTTTGTTATTTTGTGAAATATGAAATTCAAATGAAAATCCATGAGCGTTTAGCTGCAAGAACCAGATTCTTCATTTGATTCTTTATAGTGACAATGAAATAATAAAACTTACATCAACATGACAGTAAGAATAAAATGACACTTTTCTATAGCCCCAATTTAAATAGTGGAAATAAATCTACTTTTCTTCCACACGTCAAAAAAGCACAAGCATATGTGAACACTCAAGTCATTTTATTGTCTGCTTCATTTAACATCGACTACTCACTTGGTTATTACACTGCACTTTTGATACTGTATTAGGCTGAAATCTTAGTTAAAAGAACCAACACAGTCTATATTCTGACGTTTTTTGTTATACTTGTTAATACAATTAAGCGCAAGGCAAACCTTCATAACACAAATAGATGGTAAGTTTGGTTTATTAGCATGCCACAGAAGAATTGTACTTTAACTGATGGAGAGCGAAACACAGAAACCCTTAATGTCAAGGATTATTCATTCATAGAATTCGGTTTCAAAATGACCAGCTACCTTACATTTTAAAAGAACACTGGAATAACTTCTGGTACTGGAGCATAAATACCGCAGTTCAAATATGTAGCTACAACTTAATTTCATTTAGAATACAGTTTAAACTACAATATAATAATTATCCGCTTTATATCTGATGAATGCATACCAAGCTTTCTAAAAACTGTTAATTACAACAACTTCTGTGTTCTAAGCTACAAAAGCTGGTGGACTAGGATTGTTTCTTATTTCAGCAATCTCTCAGAAATTCGAAGAAAATAAGTCAGACCGTGAGAATAATAAAATAACTATATATTTGACACAAAAAGAGTAAAATATTGGTTTCTGTGTTGTGCATCCATTAACAATGATGCATTTGAAAACATATAAACATAATACACCAAGATATCATTACAAATGCTTGAAAGGTAAATACTATACAGTAGTAATATATCTCATAGTAAAAATGATAGTTAGTTCAAGGTATGAAAAATTGTTCCTTAGGAATCATGGAACGTGCCATAGTTTTCCATCGTCTTCTCCGTTTATTCTCCACCAAATTCATTCTATGGTTGACTGCATTTGTCAGGGAAATAGATAGCCGGTTTGTTGAGAAATGATTTCTGTTATTGCACAAGTGTTCATCAGATGAGGATGATGACAGTATCTGAGGATACATTTCGGCTGAAGTTGAAGGATTACAATTTTTTCCATTTACAATTTCATTACTAGGCATTTGTTCAGACCACAATTCGGAAAAGTATTCTTCAACCTCTTCAAAACTTAACTCTGGTAACAATGATGTTGTCGATTGTGTCTGACTGTTAAAATCAGTTTTGTACTTTAGCCTCAAATCTAAAATAGACGAAACAAAATAAGTGGAAGATATTTATTAGACTAATGTCCATTCAAAATTAAGCATGCTGAAACAGTTGTTTGAGTCATTAAAAAACTGTTTGATTTACGCTCGTATGGTTCATATCAGCAGTTAGACTGAATCAAGGAAAAGCAAAATATTTTATTGTTTATTATCTTGTTTTTGTTTTCAACTGCTTGCATGCATGGGAGGTAGAATGAACAACATGGAAACGGGAACTCGTAGACTTGAGTCGCATAGTTTTAGATACATAAAAATCCATTTAGCAGAAATACACGCAGCAGAAAAAGCAGAAATAAAAACAGCCTCACTTATTAGTTGGCAACCTGAAGTCACTATTAGTCTGACTAAATGGCCTTTTAGCAAGCACATATAAAGCTACTACGTTCTTTTTACAGCATCAGATGGGGATGGTCCTGTAACTTATGTCAGTAGCAGACAGAGGTCTCAACATTAAACCTATAAAATACCCAACTAGCTGTAATGTCCATAACTCAACTGTAGTCATTCCATTTTGTTCAGGAGACGAAACATCTGTTTCACTTCCTACTAGCATATAATCTTTCCTTTTGTGACATGTATTGGATAGGAACTATCATAATAAATTTATCAAAGTTAAACCACTGGTCTTAAGCAACTTAATGAGTCTTTCGCAAAGAACAAGTACAATATTATTTGATAACACACCGAACAGCTCTTAAAATGCAACTCATAGTGAGAGTGAATTACATGGGAATTTCAAAATAATGTAAAGGTTAAAAGCAAAATAAACATTCAGATGATAGTTGTTGTGGATGTGTTTGAATAAACTGGAAAAAGATTCAGCGCTGAATCTGAACACGCTAGGCTTATGTCTAAATATATTTCTATAATAGTTTAGAACGCTGTTACAAATGTTAAAAACCTCATGGTATCTTTATTCCATTACGTTATCACTGAAGAGAAACAGAATTTTGCTAAGCTTTGGAACACATTAGGATCTGGTTCCATTAATCCTAGTGTGTATCAACAGCTCTGCAACATACAGTTTTTCTTCAGCTTTTACAAATAGGATAGATAATGAAACTTCATAATACTTACCGACTCGCACCATTTGAGATAAATGAGACCAATTATTTTAGTGAACTTCAAATGTTGACTGAATGATCGATGGCTGCTCATGAATAATTTATTAGAAAATCTGTTTTACATATTTTAATTTGATTGGTCGAATCCAATCTACTTTTTTTTACAAACCTAGAATATTTATGCTAGGAATTCACAATAATGTTGCTGATATTGATGACAGTTTCTTTTCCGTGATGGTTATATCGGTAGGGTCAGACTGTGTCGTGAGTCATCATGCTTTCTTTTGATTACTGAATAGGTCAGCGGTAAATACAAGTCGAACTCGGTGTCACGTGCCACAATATCTTACTGCTATCCAATCAACAGGTAGCTTATTAAAAGTGACTGGACGTGAGCAGTACGTTTATGAAAGCTTAGAAGAAAGAAAACATGTGAAAAAGTAAGTCATTTAAAACTTATAAAATAAGGGTTATAAAGTTCAAAAGGTGAACTTTACCTAATTTACTAGAAAACTTAAGACCTCAGTAATATCACTTGACAAGAAAGCCTAACTACCAAAGTAACTTGCTGAAAACATGCATTACACGAAAGACTCGTGAGAAGATTTGCTGTAAATTCGAATTCAAAATTAGTCGTGATACGCACAACATACTCTCACTTGGCTAACTTGATTCGTCCTATTTAAAAAAATACTATAGCAAGAACTCACTGAATTATTTCGCTTGTTTTGTTCTGTAACGATAAATAAAAGGGACAAATATGGAGCAGGTGACTGGCGAGAAAATTCCGTTAAACAGTGAAGTAATCTGGTGAATCATTTACAATAAGGAGACGTTTGGCAGTAGGTTCGTTTTAGATTGTCTCTATAGTGTTGCACCGTTTGCATCTTACATGTACTGCTGTTAAATCTTTTAAATCCTGAGGTCGAGCATCCATGCGGAGGAGAGTATTCGTTTTGTTGCGTCAAAAATAGGAAATAGGTGAATGTTCACTTTTCTTGGCATTCATTTGGACACAATTTAAAGTCAAAATGTTTCTTTGTATGATCTTCATGTTTTCTTCCGTCTGTTAACACGACTGCTTATATGTAAGGATGAATGAAAGCTGTTAGTCTTCATAGAAGTAAATATAAGGAAGCAGAAAAAGTTGAAAGTTTCTTAGCCATGAACTTTCTGTATGACATGACTGAAGTATTGAATTCATCATCATATCTGGTAGTCTACTGGTAGAAAATCCCGTTAACACAGTACTTTTTAGTTTCGAAAGTTTCTTAGCTTGGATACAATTAGGTATAGAGAAGTTGACTTACCACTTGATGTACCACTGCGTCAGTTTCTATGTACATCATTTCCCTCGATTGAATAAACGTCTGTAGCTTGGTGATTTTACAGTTGAAAGATAAAATAAATCTTCAGTAAACCATAACCTCATATTTTCCAGTGACTAAATAATTTATTTGTACAATATTTCAGGTCACGGACAGGTTATAGATCTGAATAGAAGAGATGAATTGACATTGTTTTACGCCCACCTACCATGAAATTCTCTTAATAGAATGTCTTGCAAACTTATGAATTTACCGGGAATCCTAATAAGTTCAGTAAGGGGTGATTATAAGACGTCATTAGGACGGAGTATGAGCACAGATATGTAAAGCACAGGTGGGGATTTCCATTTCCCTGTATAAACAAGCTATTATGCAGCTAAAATTATAATCTGGTCATCTGCCGCATAGGTAAACATTTGACTGGATATCTATTTGGATTTAAAATGTGGTTTTTCAAATACTAAAATCTTGCTTTTCTGGTAATATTACGTAGCGTAGATAATAGACTTTTTTTGATGTTTATCAGAAAAAAATTATTAAAATCATCTGAATGACTATTTCTTAATAGAGGAATGAGTCTGAATCACTCATCACTACTGCATAAGATGTTAGTGATATACTAGTGGAGCTGCAGTTTCAGTCCACCTAAATGAATAGACTGTTCTCATCAGAAGGAACTAGTTCATAAGAAACACTCTGCAATATGGTTTTTTGAAATATTCTTAGGAATGAAAAGATAATTTCAATATGCTCCTAGACACAAACTAGTTGTTCGGAGTGCAAAAAGTAGGAGGTATTTTACTTTCAAGGTATCAGCTGAAGAGACTTTGCTTCTAATCAGTTTTACATGTCCATAAAGAAGTCTTAACGCTACAGGAAGCCAAAATAACTGAAGTACAATTTAAAGGTGTAAGTCACTAGAAAAAGCCCATTGTTGATGACTGGTGTAAAACAGTTTTGCCAGTAACTGGTAGAAACAATTGGCAGTTACATTAAACGTGCTGAAATTAGTAATCACGTTGTAAAGGTGTATATGTGTGCAGAGTGTAGTTTTCCTAGAAATTGATAATAGTTTCGAAAATGAGGGTTTACTTTTTTTAAGAAAAGAAGCTGAATTAACTGTTTTTTTTACCAGTTCTGGATTCCACATTCACCTCTTTTCTATTTCTTTCCCATTCCATAAATTCCCAAATTTATAATAAAACCCACCTATGACCTGTTGTTTGCATCACCTGTATACTAATTAGAACTAGTTTAACTGTTCAGAAAATATACTAGCTTTATCTGATTTTCATCTCAGCAGCTAACAAGTAGTATCATATGATGATCTAGTGCGAATATAAGCTGCAGTGTAATAAAGATAATTATCAAAAGCTTAATGTATTTTAACACGTGTTACTAGTTAATTTCACTGCACAAGTTATTTAGGTGAAGGTCGAGTGTAAACGTTCATAATAAATTTTCGAGGCATTCGATGTTGCAAAATACTAAGTCTATAAAAGACTGCTGGTCAGATAAATTTAGTCACAGATTAGTAATAATTGCACACGAATCTAATATAAAATTATATAACAGTATTGCTTTTTAGCAATAAGTATTCAGAATATGTGCGGGAAAGATGTGATGCATTTCAACAGTGCGAAGAAGGATTGTCGTTCAAAATATTTCTGAAGTCGAGAAAATATCATTATGCTACTTCAGGCTTCAGTTAGACATAGAAGAAAGCTAATCAGCGATTTATCTTTCCTCATTCTGCGTAAATATAACCCGAGTAAATTTTAAATTACTCTAAACTTCGGACATGCCTTCTAAAAAAGAGAAAAAAACTGATACTGAGAAACTTAAATCACTCAAAAAATGGTTCATATGATAGCATGTTATCCCTAAAATCATTCATTTTTCAACTACAGATTCAGAGAATCAATCGCAACCTCACTGTGGATAGAGATAAATGCCGCTATCAGATCACGAAATATGACACCTGTCGACTGCCTGTAGGTATAAACGCGCTCCGGCTTTGCTTTCTATATTTTTCAAATCAGTTAGAACTGTTCCCTCTCATTGGTTCTCGTCTGAAAAGTATGTATTTACTTAAAACATGGTTGAGACTTAACTTCGCCTGGATAACTAGTTCACTAGTTACTAGCCGGTCCTAAGCCCGGGTACACACGGAAGGTTGGGCATATGTCTATCAACCCTACACCGTAAAATAAATACAACCGCTACAAAAACTTCAAAACACAAACAAAATACAAAAGATAAAAACAAAATTATTCCTAGCTGGAATCGGGGAGACGAAATGACGCCGGTGGGTGAAAGCCTTCGAGAAGCCGATTGGCCGATGTGTCTTCTCTTCTCTCAATGAAAGCGAAAGTAAACGAGGGGACATGGAATGTCCGCACTATCTTTGAACACAGCAAGGCTGCTCAGATTGCAAACGAGATGAGAAGGTATAGCATTGAAGTATTAGGAATCTGCGAGGAATCTGCAGATGGAATGGAAGTCGACTCTCCAAACTGTCAATTGGAGAGGAGTCAATAATCTACTCCGATATTGTCACCCAGACGACACGACAACCACGAGCACACTGAGTTTTCGAGTGGCTATCATGATGTCCCCCTCCCAACAGCATCGAAGTCTCTCTCTCATGCAGTGGGAACTAATCTCCTCAAGCATCAGCATCATGACAGCAAGATACAACTCAAAAGGAAGGAAAGTCACAATCGTACAATGCTACACTATGCACCTACAAATAATCAAGCAGATGAAGAGAAGAAGGAGGAATTCTATAGACGACTGCAATCAACACTGGACAAGACCCCATCCCAGTTGGCGACATCAAAATTCTAATGGGTGGGAGACATGAATGTCAAACTGGGAGTGGACTATACAGGAAGGGAAGCACTCGATGAAATGAACGAGAATGGAGAATTGTTTGCAGATTTCTGTGCATTCAAAGATTTGGTGATTGTAGGCACTGTGTTCAAGCACAAGGATATCCACAAAGCGATATGGATTTAGTTTCACCAGAAACCAGGACACACTAAAAATCAGACCTATTTCATCTCAAAATCAAGAAGGTAGAGACATAGCCTACTGGACACAAGATGAGATGAAGAAGAGCAGCACATGTAGGTTCACACCACTCACACCATCATCTAGTGCAAGGAACCTACCTTCAAAATCAAGTTGAAATCCTTCGAAGAAGAAGCTGGTTCCACTTGGACCACAGTTCAAGTTCAAGTTGAACACTCAGAACAGACAGTGAACTGAAGGACGAAACTACAAGGGACATCCTCACAGCAGCCATCAAGACGAAATGGGAGATATCGAGCAACATCTGTGAAGAAACCTGTGTGGATGAGCACTGGAACTCTTTGAAAGCTATGTGGAAATGAACCTGCATAGCCGTATTAGGAATGAAGAAGAAAGAAGATAAGAAATGGAATGGAATGGATCTCGACGGACACATGGAAGCTGATAGTGGAGGGAGAGGAGGGAGTATGTTGAAGCAGAAGATAAATCATTGCAGTGCAAGGATGACCAACTTGAAGGAGGACTGAGCACAACGTATAAAACACTCACTACACTGGACACAGAAGTGAAGAAGAGTGCACGCAAAGACAAAAGACACTTCCTCGACACGTTGGCAAGTGAAGCAGAACAGACTGCAGGTAGGTGAGACAGAGACCTGGAAACATTGTATCAAATAACCAGATTACTATCTGGGAGGGAAGAGATCAACACAGGTGGAACC